ATAGTGCTATCATTGCTCTTTCTAATAACTAATTAAAAAAAAAAATTAAACTGCAGATTTATGCAAAGGAACAAAATTGTAATGTTTCTGCACGCAGTATTCTAAGGCTGAATGTTAAAAGTGCCTTCTGTCTTAAAATCTTAAACCAAATACTTTGTGTTGAACTTGGCAGACAGAAGTGTCCTTGCTTTAAAAATGAACAAACAACAGTCCCAGAAAACTTGCTGGCCATAGAAAAGTATTAAGAAACCTATGTTAGTTTTTAGACTGAGAAGTGGTAGCAATATGGTTTAACTCAATGAGATAGGAGGTTGACGTGACTGGGAAAGTAAAATGCTTATGTTTTGGACTCTGACACCAAAATATTCAGCTACTTTCTGTAATTGGTGCTGTGCTGCTTTTTGCCCTTGTCAGCTTCTAAATACGAAGAGTTCCAACTGCATACCCACTTATTTAAAGAATTAGTTTAACTAATCTTAGGATTTTTTCTTGCACATGAATGTCAAAAAGACACTTCTGTTGTACGGCTAAGTGGATTAAAAACACTAAGTTGCTGAGGATGAACTTGACTGTGAAACATTCAGCGTTCAGTAGAGAAAATAGAATTTTTAGGTTGCATTCAGAAAATAGTATTTAAATTACTACTGAAGTAATTTTCTGGTTTGTATCAAGGATGTAGGTGGAAACTGCTTTTATGTATAGAGTTCTGTGGTATGAGTAACATCTGTTGCATGTAACACTAAATTACACGTCCCTCTTGTCTAAGAGTTTTAGACGACAATTCATTAAATGCATTTTGTATTGACCAGAGTATAGTTAAAGCTTGTCTTGATGTTTAGTTCTGTCTCTCAAATGCCTTGAACTTTGACGTGAGGGGAGTGAATGGTGTTAAGCTGGTCCCTCAGGGCTTCACTCTGTTCTCTTATAAGCCTTGAGACAATATCACTGTTTAATATGTTGTATAGATTTATTTTGATGCATTCCTGTGATCTACACTAAAGCATCTTTTCATCTGAGGAAGAGGTAAACGTGCTGCCTGAAATGGTTAGTCGCAGCGCTAATATCAGAACAAGCAGCAACGGAGACAAGTTTAATCAATGATTACTTGGTCTGATTTCTGGTTGTAATGCGCACTGAAAAAAAAAAAAAGGAAAAAAACATCAACTGAAAGTATAGGTGTTGACTAACTTCACTGTGTCTTGTGCTTGTCTGTGTGGGCATAGTCTGTTAATTCAGTTTGTTTAGTAAAATTGTTCAGGGCCAGATTTTCAGCAGTCATGTCTGCGGTCCTCGTTTGTGTGCACGTAGGGATCAAATGGAAAATCGCTTTGGTCTCTGGAAGAATGTGCAGCTGTACTCTGTGCACAACCTTGCAAATCTGACCCTTAATTGTGAACTCCTTTGTCTTGTGTGCTTTTCTTGCAGTTACTTTTTACTGGAAGTGATTTGCTAGAAATGGCCCTAACTCTTCTACTTTCTCTCTTGTGCTTTGGAAACGCAGTTGGCCTGAATAAAGGGCAAAGTTAATATTAGCAGTAGAAATTTGGACCTTTTTGCTTCCAGATCTTTGACTCTTTCCTCATTGCTACCAAATGATAGAAACAGCATATTTCTTCCAGTAAAATGGCTCGGGTTGCAATTAGTAACAGGATAGAAATCAGACAAGTGCTTCATGCAGCTGCCCCCTGCCTCCCCTCAGCCAAAACAACTATCATTGCCTACGTGTGATTGATACGAATTGGCCGTTTACAAAACTGAAGGGAAATTCTGTGAAGTCCTGAGGATGCAGTAGAATGGGGAAATGCTAGTAAATAACACTTGGCCTGGCAGAGGGACAAGGAGGCGGCAGTATTGTTACACAGATTCTGGTTGTGGTTTCAACACTCATGAGAATGGAGGGGGGGAAAAAAAATCTTAAGATACAGTGCTTGTGATTTTGGGCTGTTCCCCACCACCACTCCCTGCCTGGCTCTCCGATGTCCTGCAGGGAGGGGCAAATTGAAAGGCAGAAGAATCTCATCCCAAAACCTGTTTAGGAAGTAAACATTCCTGAAATCCTTTTACTGTAAGGTACTCGTTAATCTTAAAGCCAATGAAGCATTCAAGTCTTGTTTAGAAAGTGAATGTTCTTGGAAGCTTCTTACTGTAAAGTGTTTGTAATGCTAAGGACAGCCAAGGAAACATTCCCTACCACCTTTGATTTCCAAAGTGACAGCAGATCTCTCATCAGGAGATTTCTGCATACTGTAATACACACTCGTTGTCTTCTGTACAGTCTCTTGATCAAAAATATTGACGAGGTGCTTTGGGCAGCACTTGGGTCTCCTAATTAACATTGGCTAAAGTTAAGGAGAGTTCTAGTAACTTTGGTTCTGCCAACATTGTTTCAAGATGATCTAGAGAAAACTGGTCCAGAAAAGATGAAGTATTCTGTTACCATACAACTGTATTAAGCATGGCCTAAATATTAGGTGTTTGTTCTGTACTGTATGTTCCATCAACTATTATCACTAGTGCTTTAAACTCCAAATTAAACACCCATTTAAATGGAGTCACTGGGCAGATGTTCCTTTTATCAATATAGTTGAGAGATTCTCTATCGGAGGTTTAGGATACGATTTTGCTAACAGGTAAAACAATGTAAATATGTACGAATTCTATTTGTTGCACATAACTTTTTGGTATAAAAAATAAATGTAGAAATTACCTGTGGACGTCTTGCTGCAATCATTCTTATGCTGCATTCATGCAGTCCAAACAAGAGCTTGAATGAACTCAGAGGCCTTTTTGGACTCAGTCTGAGCCTTAGAAACTGTCTTTAAAGTCAGTACTGTAATTCTGTTTCTTGAAATGTACGAAGTTGTGATCTCTTTGAAAGAAATTGTATGCTAGCCGTAGAAGGATTAAAGCCCTTGGGTCCCCAGAGATCCCAGGCTTATAGAACTTCTGCAGCTTCCTTGTGTCTCGCTGAATGTTGTGTGCACGTGGGGGTGTAAAGGTTGGGCAGCATTGACTTGAGGCTTTACTATTTACAGTTCCTTAAGCAACATGCAAAAAACGTTAAGTATGTTATTTTTATCAGTTCCTTCTTTCCTTGGTCCTGTAGGCCTGCTTTAAATTCTCTCTGACAAGACCACAAAGTATCTGGAAACTGCTGTATATTGTCCTGGGTTTGGGGTGCGGGGAGGGCAGGGGGTGGAGGGAGGGAGGAAGGGAACTTCTGGGGAAGGGTTGGATAGGCGGGCTGGGTTTGCAATTGCACTGAGCTGTTAAGAACAAGCAGGAACTGATACTCTGAAGTGTGTGCTTACCATACATGTGCATATTAAACTTTGCATATGTTTTGCTGGACTGAATGAACGTTATCTCTTCTGCAACCGCAAGCCCTGTGTATGTCATAATGATCTGAGCTCGTTTGTAATGCATTAATGATGTTAAATCTTTATTTTCACGTGGCAGCTGTTGGTATGTCATGCTGTCTGTTGAAAGGGGGAAGAAAATGGTTTTAAAAAAATGTCTAGAGAGCGAGATGTTGAAATGGATTTTGAACACTGGAAGTGGGCTTAAATACTGTTCACTCTTGTATCAGGTTACATTTGAGCAAGTGTCTTTTTAATGTGGATAGATTCTTATATTCTGGGTTTTTAGTTAATTAGAAAATCTGTAAACCTAGCACGAGAGTAACCATCAGGAATGCTGATAGTATGTTCTTTCTTTTCCTTTAGATGTTCAAGAAATATTGTTTCGAAGTCTGCAGTAAACATGTATGTTGTTATTCTGCATGTGGCAATGCAAAGTGTTGTTGGTCCCTAATCACATTTAAAGGAACAAATTTTGCTGCCACCGCACAACACAAGCAAGTATTTTGTTTATATTGGCAGATGTTTTAGTTACTTTCTTGAGGTACTAACGGAAGAGCCAATGGCAGAAAAAGTAAGCATAGCAGCAGGTTCACACAGTTAGCAGTGAATTGGAATAATGAGACTATGTAACTGCCTCAACTTCCAAAACTCAGAAGGCAGCCTCTGCTTCTATGGTTCTGCTGTGGGTAATGCTGCTGTTGGGACAATCCCAAGAGCTTGCACAAAGTTTGCAAACCAAGTATCCCGGGCTCTTCTGTGAGTACTGGCACAATCTGTTACAGTCTAAAGCCTGGCCTTTGGAGTTCTCTAACACTGGCGTGCAGCCTGAAAGGGAAGTTACTGCACAACGTTACTGTGTAAAGTAGCATGTGCACATCAATTTACACCTGATCCTACCCCCAAATGATTCAGGCCAGCATCAAGAAGGCATAGATGAAATTTGCCCCCTAGAATGCTGTTACTGTAGTGTGTAGTGAGAACTGAATATGAAGGAAGCTCTTCCATGCTGGAAGGTAAAACTGCATCTAATAGCAGCAATTCTGATACTGTGATTTAATAGTTCTAAACAAAGGTCAGTTGATGTAGTACCGACCTATCCAACATACTCCACCTTGCTGCTATAGTATGAATTCCATACTGTATCGGAGTACGTTGGGTAGCCTGACAGGAGTGGTTCACACCCTTCCTGGATGCTGTTAGCTCTCAGAATCTCTCAGCCAGCCACAAGCGTTCTGTCCAGCTTTAAATACAAGAAGTTATATAAATTGTCTGTAATCCTGTGGCCAATACGCTGTGATCTGAGTTAGTAACAGCTAGGAGAGGATAACTGGAAAACCTCACTCGCATTGGAAGGATGTGATGCTCATTTAGAGCAGCTTGGATTTTTGAAGTCTTCAGCATTGGTTTCTGTTGTGTGTTTTTTTTCTTTTTAATTTTTTTTTTTTTTGCTATAAACAGATACCTCAGTTAGGATCTCTCTAACTTAGCTCCTTGAAACTGAATATTCGTTTTGCTACCTGGAAACAGGAAGCCTACAGATATGGCTAAGCATAGAAAAACTGATGTTTCTGATCTGCTTTGTGTCATAGTAACTACTTCAGGTGCAGTAGAAATTGCATTAGACTTGCAAGACTTGTGTCAGGCGTAAATGTTATTTAAACAGAAATTTAATGAAAAAGTTCTGCATAGTACTCAGCTGTAATACCTTTTCATTTCATCATAGAAAGAGGATATGTGATTTCATTATAGGAGGAAGACAGCTTGATTCATTTGCAATCTTCCAGTATCTCTCTCTCAGAACAAACGCAGCTGACTTGGGTTGACGCTGGCGGGTAAATATTCCTTTCTTGTTACCCAAAACACGTGTGGTCCCTGTAGAGAAGTTACAAAACAAAGTATATACAAAATGCTCTTATATTCCCCCATTGCAAATTGTTTCAACGTATGTACTAAATCAGGTTAGGTGGAAGAGACCTATGCACTGTTTTTCCTATACAACGGGGAACCGTTGTGTTCAAGGTACAACGGGGAACTTGGCAATATAATTTGCATGATCTTGGCAAGATGGACTGATAAAAGTGAGCAATAGAGCTGCAATTCATTGTGTTTACAACTGGAAGTCGGTGACAGTTAATTCAGGTATGCCCATTAACTTCATCAGTATTATATTTACAGCAGATGCTCCTTCTGCCTTTAGTGCCACCTCGTAACCTGATGGTGAAGATGTCAACTACTAATTGTTTTGCTGTACTATCCTTTAGTGATGTCCATATCCTTTTTGCCTATTTTAGCCTTCATAGGAAACTAGAAAAAATGATTTCAACACACAGACTGGAACTGCATATGTGTACTTAAATTTGTCTACATCTTTCTATCATCCTATTTGAAACTTGTATTACTTTTCTGACTGCTTCTGTGATGACTTAACTTTTTAATACCTATGTTGGTGCTCAAAAAGTGATTCTTAAAGGTGTTTCTCTGAAATGAACACTGACTGTTCACTACCCTAACTTGCCGCAGGTGGCATATGCATAACTGGTTCCTTAATAGGTCTCCTTCTGAGTTGTAATAGTTTAATTGCTGTGTGATTGTCTGCACTGTAGTGCCCCATACCTGGGAAATGCACTTACCTTTAATTAACAGTGGATTCAGCGTCAAGGTAGACCATTGTCTACCATTGTGACATCTGGCCCTCCATTGCTAAACCTCAATACCAAGTTAATAATACATTATTTGAGGTGCCCCATTATTAAGGGCAGTTATTAGATGAAATATGAAGCTAGGTGCTTCCCTAAAAGCTAACTGAGACTCTGAACTGAGGAATGCCAAGAAAGAGACGTAATCTGTCTGCTCACAAGCTTCCCTTGCATTCTGCCCTAGGGCACTGTCCCATGTTCTGGCTAGTATTTTGCAGGTGAAAAACTGTTAGAGAGATGGAGAGAGAGGATGCACTAAGCCATGCAGAACCTTCCCTCCTGGTTCTAGTTATGCTGGGCTACTGTCACAGAAACCAGCTATATTCTGTTTTCATAAGCAGAGGATCCCTTTTTCCTACCCTACAGCACAGTATTCTTTCTGTGTGTCATAAACCAGCTTCAGCTTGCAGGAAGGATGGAGAATTGTTTAGGATATAAATATAAGCTTACCTTGATTAGTCATGAAATCGGCGAAGTTCCAGATGAGCTCCCCAATCACGTACTCTTTCCTCTTTTTGTCAAAAACAGAGTGGTACTCTCTCAGCATAGCTTTCTGATACTCCTCGCTGAACATAAGAGGTGGATCCTACAGCCAGGAAAAAGAGATGGCCTTGAATGAAGGTGACAGTTAATCTCAGCAAAGGCTCCATGTTGTTCACTTCTCTTTACTGGAGACCTGCTTCCTGAGGACAAGCTTTACAGGTGCTCAGTCCTTTCATTGCCACTGCATTTACAATAGGCTATTTAGTGAAGATGAGCAATTACTGAAATTGCAAAGGGAAATGCATCAAATACTAAGGGACATCTGGGGAAAATCTGTGGTTTTGCTTTTAATGGTGCTTTATGATCAGGATGGGAGTGGCATCTCCTTCTGTGTGGGCTGGTGTCATGAAATGAATGAATGTCTGCTCTCCAGTGTTCTATCTTCCAGTTAGGACTTTTCTACAAATGCCAAAGTATGGATTTCTGAATGCCTCTTTTAGAGGTTTACAAGGAGTAAGTTTAAATTGACAATTAACGATAGCACAGTTGCCAGAATGGTTAATTGTAAAGGGAAACGCACTGTAGCTTAGGACCCAAAGAGAAGTGTTACTTGTTCCACACAGGGAGTGGAGCTAATACCAGCAGTCAGCACTGTTGAAAACTGCTTGCCTCGTGGAAAATGCAGGAGAGAATGGCTTTGGCTCTAGAAGTCAAAACTGGTATTCTTATCTCCTGTGAATGAGAACTTAATAGCACCATGCAAAATGCTCACTGATTATTTTTTTTCTTACCAACAACTAAAAAGTTAGGTAGAACCTTACCTCTTTGTTAGTCAGTGGCAAAGCTCATTGCTTTCAGTGAAGCACGATTACAATCCTGAGTCTTTTGGACTTTGATCTAATGCATCTTAAAATTAAGTAGTCAGGCTCGTTGGTACCAATTCTTTCTAATTAGATTTTGCTGAGACCCTTTAGGGAGAGCAGTGATTCTTCCAACTAAGGCATCTACAACACTTACGCTGTGAAGTCCAGGAACTGAGTCAGCTCCGTATTCACTCTGGATAATAGGTTTTTGGTAGGTTTTATACCAGTTCTCAAACTGTGCTGTGAGTTGCAGTGGAATAACTTCCAGATGGCCTGGGTCGTGATACCAGGAGAAGTAGCTATTTACACAAATTACATCCACGTAAGGAGCCTACAAGAAATAAGGTAGGAAGTGATTTGTCATGGAGCTCAGTATAAGCAGTCTTCATTCATAAACTAAATCTTGGTTTCACAGAATTCAGTTTTTTGTTACCTGTAGAATAATGCCTTTTGTCCCATTCTTGAGACCCTCCCAACATGACATCTTTCTCAGAAAGGAAAAAAAATTAACAAGGCAATGGTGTATTTGGCGTTTCCTTACAGACTTAAGTCACAGCAAAGAGTTAAACAAGAACAACCCATTTCATCCTTAGGTTTGTTACAAGTTTTAGGGTTTTGAAGATGTCTCTGGCTTGCTGGTACTTGTAGACATACCGAATATTGGAATGTGATGGTCAAGTTAGTAGTCAACTACTTTGACTAGCAACTAAATTTGTGCATCAATGGTGCAATAATAAAAAAAAAAAAAATTCTGCAAGTTATATGCCATTTCTACCACATGGGCAGTATGATAAAAGGGCACAAAGCCCCCTAAAGTGATGTTGTATGTAACTTGTTCAATGTTCTCTTAACATGTTTTGTAATAAAAGAAAAAAGTTCTAATATCACAGCAGTGTATGAGATCTGTTCTTTGGTTTTGTTTTTCTTCGTTTCCTCTTGCTTGTCACAATGTGGTGGTGGGGCTGAGATGGTCTGTGTGTGTGCGTGCCTGATGTAACAGCAGGATCCAGGAGCAGGATCCTTCCCAAGTAAAGCCCCCAGGATCTTTTCCTGGGGTGGGGAGGCAGAGACCCCTTAGTTACAGAAGGCCATTCCTGCTAACTGGAGGAGAGCTTCAAATGTTTCTATGATTCTATAACCTGTAGCAGGGACAGATGGTAGCATCACATCTACCTAACCTACAAACTCACCTTCTAATAGTGTTGATTGTACACTAGTGACACGAAGTATTAAAACCACTTTGAAAAATCAAAAGTGAGGTAGGAAGTACCCCTGAGACCAATTTGTGTGTGCTACAGATGCTTCATTCATGCTATGGCCAGCTTGAAGCACAGGCAGCCAAGGAAAGTACCTTTCATCTAATTACACAGCGCCAGGGTTCCAATTACGAAGCTGAACTTGGGCTAAAAGAGCTTTTAGATTATTCGACATTAACAGACATCTGTCAAAGATGAGCTAGAGCAATTTAAAGCAGGAATTAAGGCGAAGTTTCCTTCTTCAGACTCCCACAAAGGCTGTTAGCATTTTAAGAGGTTTAAGCTTTGGTCTAATTGCAAATGGGAAGCCTGAGCATTAACAGACGTGATCACAGGAATAGCAAAGCATCACCATGCTACCAGAACCCAGGGGGTGATCCTGTGCACTTGACTCAAGATAACTCCTCTTTTCTCTTACAGACTTTTTGGCTGCCTACAGTGATGGTGTACAGTAATAGAAACTAAAATGTAAGTTTTCTTCTGCCTTCCCTTAAATATCATTAGAGCATTTGGCAAGGTGAGGGAAAGAACCATAAAGCAACTGACAAGAAATGTAATGTATGAATTAAAAATGCTAGAAATTAACTTACACCACGATCAACAGCATAGTTGGTATCGGTCACAAAGGTTACAGGTCTGGTGGGATCGAGAGCTTTAGTGTGAGCTACCAATGTCCTGTTCGTAAACAATAAAGGAAAGAGTTCAACAACAGCATGGAGAAGCAGTGTGGCCAAGCACAACCTCACCTTCCCAAGCTCCCTGTCTTTTTACCCACCTCAGACATACGGAGCTTCTTTTAATTTAGTAGGCAGAGTATCTTTAAGTAAATACTGCAGGACACTGAATGATTATCTGCTACAATGTGCCTGCAATTCTAGCCAGTTCTGTAGAGTATAAATATGATGGGAGACCTTTATCTGTCACAAAGTTAGTTATCCCACGTGAAAAGGAGCAGAGTGGAAGTACACCAAACACAGGTATGTTAACTCTTCTCTTGGGGCCAGGAGTTGTTAGAGAAGGGACAAAAAAAAAAGTGAGAAGGTGATGGGAAGCTTCAGAACAACTCTGGGGATGCTTCTCCAAAAAACACTAAGCCCTAGGCCTATGCCACAGAAGACAAAGCAGACTGGCTGCTGTTAAGGAGATGTTAAGTGAGACGAAGAATGGGAAGGTCAAACTCTGCTGCTACCTCAGCACTGCAGGAGGGTGCTGGACCATTCTGAGGAATGAAAATTCACAGCTCTCAATGAGCCTAGAGCTACCAATGACAGTGCTACCCAATTTCAGAGATTACCCTTGGCTATCCAAAGCTTAAATCTTTTTAAAGATAAAACCAAGGGGTCTGTAGGGACTCAAAGCAGTGACTTCGAAGTGGGGTGTCACTAACACCTGCAGAACAAATAACTAGCACTAGCTAAAGAAACTCATCTACAGAATTAAAAGCCAAATATTTTATAACTTTACTGTAATTTTCAGACTTAGAGAATTTAGCACTTGTCTTCTTTAGGCAGGACCAAAGAACGACCCATTCCCATCAGGTCTGCTTTTGCTTGACCCTTAACTCAGAAGCGATGCTCAGACCAAATGGAATCCTGGTAATTTTGGAGATGTTTACTGATTCAGAAACAACAGGTTGAGACCATTATGTGGTCCTGGACATCAGTTCAACATATGCAGAAGTTACGCTTTTAGTTTGCATCTGTCAGTACTGTCTCAGAGTTCATAAAAAACGCTGGCCTTTTCTTTGTTACTTCTCTGTACCATCCCAAGGCATGAAGATGCATCACTTGCCAAGATTGAAGCCTCATGCCCCGTGTGCAAGCACTTACTTGAAGTAGTAAGCTGCTGGGGGCAGCTCTGCTGCCGGCTCGTTGGCTACTGACCACATCACAACTGATGGCCTGTTCTTATCCCTGCGGATCAGCTCCTCCATCACAACAAGGTGATGCTGCAGTGACTTGTTCCCAAAGCTCTCACTGAAAAGGAAACAAGGCCAGGTGAGGATACAAAAGCCATCCCGTTTGACTGTCTGTCTGATAACTCGGGGGGTGTGTAAGCACAGCTGAGCCTCGAAACCAAATACAGCTTCTGCCCTATTTCCCCAAAGCTTGCTGCACAGTTCAGGGCCGTGATTCGGACTCGTTAATCAAGCCAGATCTGACGACGCAATGCCCATGTGGCAAAACGCCCTCTGGTTGCCCAACCTCTCTGGTCACACGTGGCATTGGGGGAAGCTTCAAAATGCAACGGGCTGATTTCTAAATAGAGCAAAGTACTTTCATTATCAGGGAGTTACAAGTTGCAGGACAGGAGGGGGAAGCTCGTGATAAGGATAAGAAAGAAACGTGGGGAAGGGTCTTTCATGCACTTACGGCATTTTAATCCCCACTCCTGGGCACTCGTCGATCACCACGATGCCATAGGCATCGCACAGGTCCATGATCTCCTCAGCATAGGGGTAGTGGCTGGTGCGGAAGGAGTTTGCCCCTAGCCAGCGGAGCAGGTTGAAGTCCTTCACGATCAGGGCCCAGTCGAGGCCTTTGCCACGGATCTGAGAGGGAAGACAGGAATGGCTTCTCCCTGCTTCTCCTCACACCTCTGCTGGGCAGCCCTCCTTCCTGCTCGCTCCCAGAGCATTTCCAGCCCCACGCACTGCCTCTAGCTTCCCACAAGACCTCTCCGTGCAGTATTTGTCTTTCTGAGCACAACCCCATGCACAGCCACCAAGACACAGGGTGCTTGGAGAAGCAGCCCCAAGTGAGAACCTGCACTGCAGCCACCTGCCATTTTGGGAGGTGCCCTGCCAGGCCACCTTCTCCCTCCACAGGGGTTCTCCATGAGGCAGGGCAGGGCTGAAAGGCCCCAGGTGGTGAGGAGAAGCCCTGAAGGAGCAGGTTCAGGGCTGGGCTGGCCCTGAGGTGAGCGAGCACGGGCAGGGACAGAGCCTCCGGAGGGGCTGTGGGGCCTCCCTGTGGTCAGGCTGTGCCTCGCAGCCCTGAGGCTCAAACCTCCCTGCAGGAGACTTTGCCCGCTCTCATTTCTTGGGGAGGGAAACCGATGAAGTTGCTATTTCTGACTGGAAGTGGTGGCCGGGAGGTTGTTTAGATCCTCTGCCAACGCAGCCTGGGCTTAGCCATACACCCTGAGAGGGGCAGTTATGACTCTGGCAGGTCTGGGCATGGTGTCCCCTTATTATTATTAATAATTAATTAATAATAATAGTGGCAGCACAGACCCGCACCCCTGGCAGCTCCCAGCCTGAGAAAAGGGTGTGAGGAATCAGTCCCTTTAGGCAGAGAGGAGGTGAGAGCAGGTATTGCCTTGGCAGCACCCAGCACAGTGCCATTAGGTGCCCCGGTGGGTGCCATGCACTTACGTCCGCATCCTCGTGCTTGTTGACCCCGTGGAAGTAGAAGGGCTTGCCATTGATGAGGAACTGTGTGCTGGTGACGTGGACAGTGCGGATGCCGACTGGGAGCGTGTATACGTCCTCCAGCAGCACCTCATTTGCCTGTGCCTGCATTTTCACCTGCAGTCCCGAGGGGAAGATACACATGAGGTGCTGGGCTTCACAAGGATCCTCTCTTCTTCCCCTCATGTGTAGGGGCTAGCCTGACCTCCCATCCACTTCCCAGCCCTTCCTCGCTGCCTGCTCCTCATCACTGCTTCAACTACATTTTGTGGTCCCTCTGTATCTCTTCAGGAAGGAAACAAGATCTGACTAAGGGAAAACAGAAATCCAAGCTGGGAAACTGAAGGGTGAAGAATGAAGCCTCGATGACCCTTCTAGGGCATATTTTCCCCAAAAGTTTCTTTTTCCCTTATTCATCCAGCTGTTTCATTGCCCTGACAAGGCAGCGGTATGCCTTTTCTCCTCTGCACCTTGATACCAGGCAATGACTGAAGTGTCTGCTCACAAAAGCCATGTTTCCAAGCCTCTGGAAACTCACAGCAGCTCATCTGCCCTCATGTGTGCATCTCAGTATCACCTGCTCCCCCTTGACTCACACAGGGTCTGCCAGGCTCTTTCTGTTGAACTTTTGTCCAGCAGAGTGGGAAGAAAGCTCATTGCACAGGAAAGCATGAGAAAGAGGCCAGCAACCTCTCAGTTTATACGGTATCTCCTCCCCTATATTGTTTCAAACAGTCCTTTTGAAGGAGGTAGATCAGGCCATTCACGTGAGAGGCAAGCATCTGAGAGCGTGGCGTGCCCTCCTCTTCTCACCGACTGACCTTTTCATTCAGAACTAAGGAAGCTGGCAAAGCTTGATTTGATTACAGCGCGATTAGCAATGCCATTCTAGTGAGGTAAACAGGATCCAGAAGAGTAAGGAAGATGGGCCATGTGGCAGCTCCGTAATGCTATTATACAGTGAGAGGAAATGCAGGCAGAAAGAGATGGCATTATTACCTCTAAGAAGTAGCGGTATCCGGGGTTCTCGTGCATCAGATAAGGCCACCAAAGATTTGGATTTGAGACTTTTAACACTCCAGCTGGTCCATCACCTGTAGCAACCACTCTTCCCTCTTGGTCACGTAAACTCAGGGACAAGGAATAGAACGTGCTGCCGACTACTGATACCTGATACTGCACCTTTGCTAGTTCAGAGAACAACAAAAAGACAATCAGAGACTGGCATGAAAGGAAAAATACATGCATAAAACACTGGAAGGCTTTCACACAGAGCAGCATTAAAAAGTCAGGGATATGCAGAACAACAACAGAGAGGCACAAATTTTAAGAAGCATAACCTGTCTGTCTTGAGGACTGGAAGTTTCCAGGAAGATTTGTGTATCACAGGTTTGGTACTTAGGGATAATCATGCCTTAAGTGGCAGGAAGACTGCTGCCCCTTCTGAGAAATTCTACTTCTAGAAATAACTCTTTGTCCCTTCATTTTAAAGATAAGGTCTTGCAAGTACTTGTTTTTACTTCTTGCTTTTGAAATTTTTAGCATATTCTTGAAACTGCTGTAGCTGTGCAATAGACCAGCTGAGGTTAAAAAGAAAGCCACTATGAAAGATATTCAATTGGACGCTTGCAGGATATTTTCTCTACTGCCCTTGTCATCTCCATTTGAAGCCTGAGGTAGCTGCTGTAATTGTTCTGAACCTACCAACACTCTCTGTTGAAGTAGTTGTCACAGTAATATCATCTATGTAGACAGAAGGAGTGGTGTAAAGCACAACCGGGCGATGGATTCCAGCATAATTAAAGAAATCAAACCTGATGTTCTGTACAAAATAGTTCTTGGGATACCTAAGTGAGCAAGACAGGAAAAATGGCCGCATTATGTTTCATTACACAAGAACTGAAGGCAGCATACGGATGCTAGCAATGTGCTAGTAAAACAGTCCTTATTGGATCTCTATTTCAGTACTGCTACTGATGCTAGGCTGAAGGGGATTACCAGTTAACAAACATCTACTGCACTGAATAGGTTTGATCCTTCAGGATAGCAGGTACTTGCACTTCCAGCTGAACTGAAGCTTCTCAAATCTGCCATTGATTCAGCTTGGCAAATCACTTAATCTCAGTTCCCTGTGTATAAAACAGATGGAGTAGTTCAGTGTAAATCTCATAACACTGAAGCTTAAACTTCTCACTGCTTGACTGATGAGTTTTGGTCTACGTACAACCCATTATTTGTAGGTTGTGGGGAGGGCCTTAGAAGCAGCAGCTGAATAAATTCCCATTCTCTCATCCCTGGGCTAACCTCAGCAATGCAGCGCTTTAGCAACTCACCTTGTGCGGTCATTCATGTACTCAATTGACCCTGGAGGCAGAGTGTGAGGTGTCAGTGTGTTATTCAGTGCAACAGTGATGCGGCAGGGAATCTGTGGGCTGCTCTGGACGATGCTGCTTATATCTGCTTCAAAAGGGAGGTGGCCGCCTTCGTGCTCCACAACCTGCACTCCATTGACCCACTGCAACAGAAGACAGCCATGAGTCCGAGCGGTCAGGTTAGGTTTTTGTGGCAAGTTTAACAGTGAGACGGGAAGGAATACAGCGACAGGCAGTTGGATTCCCAGTAACACCGGACTTTCTTCTAGGCTCTTATTCCTTGTGGGCTCAATCTGGCAGCCCTTCCTTACTGGGAGCTAAGTCTGCAAGAGTCACTGAGAGACCATTTTGGGAAAATCGGTATTTTGTCCCTTCCAGGCCTGCAGCAAGGAAATGCTTTATTGACTAATCCTGTTACTGGAGGATCAGAGAAGAGAGAGCTGGGAAGCACAGCCAAGTTCTTGGCTGGCGGAAGATAATCAAGAGCTAAGAAAATCACAAACTGATATAAAAACCTTGGCAGAAACCTGTTCACTAAACAAGCCATGGGACAAATTTTAGTTCAACACGATCTTGGAAACACATACACAATTATCCGTGCAACGTACCACAACGGAGTAGTAATGGGCACTCCCAAACCGGAGCACCACCCTGAGGTTGTCCTGAAGCCAGCGCTGAGGAAGCAGCACCTCCTTCTCATACCAAACCCAGCCGATGTAGTTCTCCAGGTTGGGGTCCTGAGTGATATCATTGAAGCTGGCAGGCACGGGCATGTCAATCACAGGACCAGTCTGGCAGGAATTGTACAGAAAAGGGGGAGAACAAATCATTTAAAAAAAGAAAGTCTACTGTCCTGGCCATCCAACCTGACAGCCTCAGAAATCAAAACGCCTTTGAAAGTGGAAATATGTTGAAAAACCTGTTAGAAACTAATGTGATCTGTCACAGGTCCTATGCAAGACCCACTTAATACTACACCCTGCTCCTACAGGATGAAGCTGCTCCTATCTTTTCCCCTCCTGGTTTGTAACGGGGAAATGCTTTCATTAATAGCTTTGGCACTATCAGAAGGGTAGGGGGGAAATGCCCAGGTGGATGTTCAGCCTGACAAAACGTAGTTTCTCTTGCACAGCTCTAGCATTGTGGCACCAGCTCACTGATGCAGGGTGCTGCTCATCGGGCTATGAGCTGTGGCAGAATGGTGGCAGAAGCTGGGGATGTTTTGGGACGGTGTCCCCAGGGAAGGACTATGGAGACTGAACATACTTAGTCTGAGAACAGCCTTTCTCACTCCCTAAAAGCAACACAGATTCCTGAGAATTACCATAGCGATAATTCACTTGCTTGTTACTAACATAAGGATCACAGGCAGGCAGCGTAGTGTTGTAACACATTTAACTTTTTGGTAACCGGATTCTATTACACAAGAGAGCTGTTCATTTTTAGCACCTGCTGTGCTCGTGATGTTGCCGAAATGAGCACTGCAGCAGCCTGCAGCTGGGGAGCTTCCCCTTTCCTAAACGAGCTTTTCCACGAAGAGTGGAACGAGGAAGGTCTGGTTGCCCAGGGGCGAGCATCATGTGCGGGGCTGACTCAGCACCGAACTGCACCGGCACTGCAGAGAAATGCACCCCCCTTGGTAGGCATCAGAAAATCCTAGCAGGAATAAAAAGACTTGGATGGTGAAGGGGGTTTTGTAGCATCTGATGCAGGATAACCTCTGGCTGGGGTGGCCATAATATGCGTCTCCTTCAAGGAGATTCTCTGACCCTAAAGTAGGGTGGGTGTATGCCCTTCAGCCCCATTAGCAGGGATGTTGTCCAGGACCCTTCTCCTCTGGCTCTCTCTTTCTGCTCTTTTTCTTCTAGCAGCACAGGGTCTCATCTCCCCTCTCCTTCCACAATTAGGCGAAAAAAGCAGCCAAAAGGCTGAAGAAGAACCCAAATAGTTTGCATGCACAGAACCCACAACTTCCATAGGAGCGGGAAGGGGGTGAATTTCATCCCAAAGTCCATTGGAGCAGGACAGGGATGAACTTAAGAGCAGACCCAAGTCCAAGTGTGACTCCTCCATGTGGGACAGGGGCTGAAGGGCGCCCTGCCCGGCCACATTTTAGGCAGTTTGGCTCTGCAGGGCGCAGGGGAGCGCTGTGTGAGAGCTCCTTGTGTGTGGAGCACCCGGCACCCAGAATCCCCTCAAAGGGAGGAGAAGCAGAAAATCACAGCAAAACGGGGCGACGGTGCCCGGGTTAGGGGATAAAGAGATAAGAGAATAAGGAGATAAGGGAATAAGGAGATAAGGGGCTCCCCGCCCGCCCCCCTCACGCCCCCGCTGTACCTCCCTCAGCGGCCGGCGGTACCAGCGCTGCTCGAAGCCGGCGGCCCTGCCCGGCGAGAAGTCGGCACGGAAGCTCCAGACGCCGCCGAGCTCCTTCAGCTCTCGGGAGGGGCTCTCCCGGGGGTACAGCATGCCGCCCACCGCCCCCCGGGACCCCCCGGCCGCCGGTACCGCCGCCAGCAGCGGTAAGAGCAGGCGGCAGAGCCCCGCCACACCGCCCGGCGCTACCGCCGCCATTTTGGTTGTGGGCAGTGCCCGCTGGGGGGGGGTGGCTCTGTCTGTGTCTGTCGTTTATTTATTCGTTCTTTTTATTTATTTATTTATTTTTTCCCCCCATAGTGGCTTGTTGAAGTGGGAGGTGCTGAAGCCGTCGGGGAGAGCTGGGCACCCGGCGGCACCTGGGGGCGGGCAGCAGGACGGTGCTGCAGTGCACAGCCCCATTGGGACTGACCCTGAAGCAGCGCTTCCCAGTGCCGGACGCGTTCCCCTCAGAACTGCCTCAGGAATAAAGCAGGACAGAAACAAGTCTCCCGGAGGCCAGGGAGGAAGAAAATACCACCTGATGGGTTTTAATCATACAGCACATTTATTTGTGGTTAGCAAGCTGACAGCAGGCCAGCTTATTGTATGGCAGTGAAAGGCTTGGTGACACGTGAGATTATCAAAAAGGTGGAGGGACAAATATCAAATATCAGGCACCTCTGATTATGATCTTTTTACTTAAGTAGGAGATTGAGACGTGATAATACGCAAAGACCACCTTCTTTCAAGCAGCAGGGCCCCACATTACTCAGCTCTGAACCCCAGGATGCTGGGTGGTGGCTGCTGGGAACAAGGGGAATTCTAGTTAGCTAAAGCCTGTGTAGATACTGAGCAAAAATGACAAAATACAAGCGGGGAGAAAGTCTGCAAGGAAAGGTTTGTGAGCTGGGGAGGCAGAGATGTCCATCTTCTGACTGTTGGTGTTAAGTATTGCTGTCGCCTCTTCACCTGAATTAAGTGTACATACTTGGTTTTTCTACCACAACTAACTTAGGGGGCATAGCGTTGGTCAGCTAGGGCTTTTCTTGGTCTCAGTTCTGATTTTACATTAGTAAGGACAGACAGGAAAATGGTTTCCGTAACAGGAAGACTGCAATGCCAGACATTTTCAAATGCTACCCCAGGTAACTTGGTCTGGCTTGCAGAAAGGCAAGTGCTTGGTCTGGGATGGTGCAGCCCCTGTGCTCCAGTCAAAACCAGAGCTAAAGGTGGTTTTGTGGTGGATATGGAAGAGCTGTGGGTTGGCCTGCTGGGCATGTTCTGCCTAAGATGAAGCATGTTGCAGTGCCAGGTGCTGAGGAGGTTTTTCCTTGCCAGGGGGCAGGCTGGCACACATAATCTTAGGAGGAGGGCAATGGCAGCTGGTGACGTGGAATGTGTTGCAGGTGCTGTACCAAGCATCTTGCTTTGTGAACACCCCCAAGTCACCCTCTGTTCCCTGTGCAACATGGCACGGCACCACTGGATGGTAGCCTTGTACTGTGTCCACATGCTCCTCCATTTTACAGGTCTCCTGATGTAGACAAACGCTCCTGCTGCTCTAAGTACCAGCCCCCTAGAGCTCCCATACCAAGGAAGAGATTCCCAATTCTTTCACAGCAATGACCAGTTCCCCAAGCCTCAGAAGTGCTGAGGAATCCCAGCTCAATCTTGCCCCCTTAGAAGCAAAATGCAAGACAGGAGTTTGAGTGAACTACAATACACCACAGTGTTTATTAACTCTGCATTAGTGTGATAAGCAAAACACTACATCCACGGGAAATCTCCCCACACTCTAAGCTTGTTCCTTCTGCTTCTTCATCAGCTCCCTCAGCTGCTCGATCTGGGTAGTCACGCTGCTCTTGGCGGTACCGCCCAGGGCAGTGTATTGCTCCACGCTGTTGACAAAGTTGAAGACCTGGGAGACATCGCTGCTGAACTGGGGGCTGGGGAGGCAAAGAGAAAAGGTGTCAGTGCAGGGTAGTGGGTGCTGGTTGCTGGCTTTACAGAGAGGGTAAGGGAGTAGAGGCTGAGCCTTATTGCAAGGGAAAAGCCTCTGGCTGCTCTGCCTCTTCTCTTATCAGACAGGAGCAGCTCGTGGTAGACCAGAGTCAGCTCCAAGGGGAGAGCGAGGAGGCTGGGAGCCAGATTCCTCTGGAGTGCTGGTGCCTCCATGTCAAGGCATGAGCAGCTTCCAGGCCCTCCCAGGACTTGCTGCCCATGCCCTGCTCAAGTTCAATTGTAATGCTGTTGTCCCCCTTTAGTTATTACAGGCTTGGCAGTAGCAGCACTGATATTGAGGCTGGGAAGATTTTTGGGGTGCTGTCAGGCCTGGCCTGTTTGGTGAAGGCATCATAAGAAAGCTTGTAAAAAGTCAGGCTGATACCTGCCTCCTGAGGGGAGATGTGGCAAAGTGATAGTGATACAAACCTGATGCTCTTCAGGTCCTCCAGGCTGAGTTTATTGATGGTGATGCCTTTGGTCTCGGCAAGGTGGACGGCCTTCCCCGAAGCAGTGTGGGCTTGTCTGAACGGCACCTGTAATGAAAATAAAGTGCAGAGTCAAGTGAACAGGCAGCTGGCCTGCAGACACAGGCAAGAAAGCACATGCTCTCATTTTGCTTTGTTGGTTTGATTTCACTTAAAGCAATGCAACATAAAGCTCTGTTTTTTGACCCATAGTGATCATCACCTGGGGACAGAACAGAAGGCCTCATCTCAGGCCCTCACTGAGCAGTGTTCTGCATCTAAAGAAGTCACAGCTCCAGGCTTCCCTACTGCACTTACTCCTTTGCGAACCAAGTAGAGAGCCAGGTCAGTAGCCAGCATCTCAGGGGTCAGAGCCTTCTCCATGTTCTCCTTGCTGATCTGTAGAGGGAAGCGTCACAGACATGATCATCTGCTCCTCCTTGGGGAGGTGTAAGTGGTCATACTGAGGGGACTTCATTGCTAAGGGACTAGGCTCTCCAATGACTTTTTCTGCAAGCTGACCCCCAGATCTAGAGTGCACCTGAGCTGCTGCTGTGGTGGGGGCATAACAAGCTGTATGAGTGGGCAAAAGGATTCATCTTAGCACCAGTCTAGAGCTCCTGTGGCTGTGCTATGCAGAGAACATGCCCCACAACCATGTGTGACAGTGAGAGGCTGAAGCCTTACCTGGAGGGTAGAGATCACCCCAGTGGCAACCTGGAGCACAGCAGTCAGGGTGTCCACAACATCAAAGACAGCCTCCTTGTCCTCCTGTGTGAGAACATGGATACACATCACTGTTAGATGGAGCCCAACCACATGGGCAGCCCGGCCAGCAGAGGAGGCAGCATGTCAACTCAGGGGCTCCCGCTGGGGTGGTGTGTGAGCTGCAGCGTGCAGTGCCTCAGCCCTTTCCCCACCCCCCTGTTTTTTTTATTTTTTTTTAAATCATCCTGCACATAATCAGGACAATGCAGTGCAATAGCCTACTCCCAAGCCAAAGACAGCTGTGCCAGTTCAGAGAAACCGACTGAAGCCTAACAGCAGTTTTACCTGCAGGTCCTTGTTGTAGGTGCTTGGAAGTCCTTTGAGAACCATGAGAATTGAAGCCAGCTGCGGAAAGAAACAGACAAGGCAGTTAGCTACTGGAAGAGGAACACAGTGCCCCAGCAGAAGGTCAGAGCCCACACTGGGCACAATTCCTTATTCACAGAGGCATGAAGGAAGATGCTTCAGCCCCTAAGTGAGCAGCTCCCCTATCCCTCTTCTTTCTTTAGCACACTCACCCGTCCAAACACACGTCCAGCCTTGCTGCGGATCAGTTCCAGGCTATCAGGGTTCTTCTTCTGAGGCATCAGGCTGCTGCCAGTGCTGAAAGAAAGATGTTTGCAGTGAAACAGGGAGCAAGGCCCCAATCCCTACAGGATAATACAGGTCATGCAGCAGGCTGGCCTGGTCCTCTGTGAGCCGTGTGAGTGCCACCCGCTTCAGTGCTTGCTTATACTGAAACAAGTGCATGGAGTTTGTCATGTGTGCCAAAGCAGAGCCTTTGTTTTTGCACTCTTGGTCTGGAGCTACTGCCCAGGGCTGCCTCTCAGAGAGGAGAGAAATCAAAGGCTACTTAGTAGGCCCTGCAGAGGTGGCATCAACAAGCAAGAGTGTTTTTGTGGCCTTGGGGAGGCAGGGCTGTGGCTGTGCCACCCTGATAGACAGGAAGTCTGTTAGGATTGCAAGCCCCGGCTGTTCAGGGAAGGGCTTGGGCAGGAATTCCCAGCAGAGGAGGAAGTTCTGTGCCTGCACATTTACAGCCCAGGCCTGCCAGCAGTCACTGGGGAGGAGCATCCGCTGAACACAGACACAGTTGAGTTACCAGAGCCAGAAATCAGTGATCCTTAATGAGGAATGCTCACCCTTAGCCTGCCTTTCTGCCAGGCTTTTTATACTCTGGGGAGTTGATTTGTGTGTCAGCCTTGTGCAGTAGGGAGCTCCCCAGCTCTGACTCAGTCTCTCAGGTGGGGAGAAGGGAGGAGGAGAGGCTGAGGGAAGGGCTGGCTGCCCAGGGACCAGCACCTACCTGAAGGCATCAGAAAGGGTCAGGAAGCCGAACTCGCTGGTGCTGTAAATGATGAGATCTTCAGCCATCTTGCTAAGGTGGATCATCAGCAGGGTGGCAAAAGAGAGGAATTCCACTGCAGAAGACGCAGGAGCTCAGTTAGAGATTTTACCCACCTTGTTAATGAGGTTATCTGGGAAGGCCTCTAAAGCCTGCTTCTAACATGGTGGAGGGAAGAAGCAATGGAGTTGTGCTTACCCACAAAGTCTCTCTCACTAATGGCATCCATGCTGTTCAGGCTGATGGAAGCAAACTCCAGCTCTGTAAAGAAAGAGGTGGACAGAGCAGTCAGGGTTGGCTGGAGCTTGAGGGCAGCAGGCTGCCCCAGCCTGCAGGTGACTGTGAGCCCTTGAGTAGCCCCAGGATCATAACCATGCTGAACTTTTATGCTGCTCAGGGCCTTCACTGTTAGGCCTAGGTGACTGTTATGCAGCAGTGCTGGTTGTTCCTGCTCCCACCTCACAGACATGGTCTGGATCTTTGCAGTAAAAAAGCCCGTATGAATTATTTGCTCTTTGTCCAATGTTACAGCACATGACAGAGCTTTGAGAGGCCACCTGTCATTGCTTCCCCCGCCCCAGACACATCAAATAGAGCCCTGCCACCCCATTCTAGGCAGACATTACCGCTACGCAGCATCTCTCTGTCAATGTCCAGGGGGTTGCCAGCCAGAGCACCGCTGCCAGGGAGAGAGAAACAGGAGTCACTTAGAACATCCTGTCAACTCCAAACAAAGATGCACAGGGAACAGAACTCTCAAGGTGTCAGAGAGCCAAGTGATGCCCAGGGATTCCAGAAAGTTGGCTGTTACCTTCCCAGGGGCAGGACGTTGATCCTCTTCTTCACCTCTCCCAGGCGCTCAGAGTCACGGGTCAGGGCAACAGCATGGCTGTGAAGGGACATGAGAGAGAGAAAGCATCTGAAGTCAGAAACTGTCCCATGAGCCGAGAAGGAATTATGGCTAGATGGTAGGGGCATGCTGAGAGTTGGCCTCCAGAGCCAAGTCAGACTGAACATGGGGATATCTTGTGGCAGGCTGGAGGGTTTCAGCTCTGCCCTGCTAGAGGATGCTGGGCTGCAGCTGAGCAGGACCCCAGGAATGGAGAAGGCTCTCTAAAGCTGAGTGTGAAAGGTGGTTACCTGAGCAAGAACTGGCTCCATCTGATGGGCTGGGCCTTCTGCAGGTGGGTGTAGCCAGGCAAGATAACATCAATTTCTCTGCATGTGAAAGGAGAGAAAGAGGTGAGCAGCCCCTGTCACAGTAAGGGCAGCACACATCAGGCTATATCCCCAGCATCCATTAGGCAAAGAAGAATGTCTCTGTGAAGTGAACTGTGGAGAAAGAGGGGCTGTTGTCTTTCCCTGCATTATCCCAGACTGCCTGGCTGTAACTTCCCCTGCAGAAGTCTGCTCTCCCAGCAAGGCCAAGGCTGCTGACTGGAGTAAAGGACTTACATGGCAGCACGTTCCACCAGGGTCTTGATGAGCTGCAGCAGGTGAGTGGAGATGATAGAGAGGGAATTCTTCATGAACAGCTTCAAGTCAGTCACAACCTGGGCAAGATTGGCCGTGGTCAGATGAAGGGGAATGTAGCATATTTAGTGACCAAATACAGTTCAGCAGAAGGAATTGGCAGGTTTCTCTCCTCCTTGTTCCATGTGATAGATCATGACATATAACCAGAACAATTCCCTGCTCTCTGCTTTGTCAATGTTGCTGTATCTTTCTTTCCAGTAACAGAAAGAAAGACTAGTACTTCCAGTGCACTAAGGTATTGTCAGCTTTGGATATCATAATCCCCAATTTACACAAGTGTCATCAGCAGAAGTCCTAACCCCAAAAGATGCAAAGCACCCAGCCAGTAAAGTCATGGATTCAATGGGCTTTCAAAGGGAATTCAGTGGAAGTTTGGGGCCTTATACCACTGAGCAACCATCCTGCACAACCTCCTCCTCTCTGCAGATAAGTTGTTGTACCACCACTAGTTTAAATCTCTAGGGAATACATGCTGGAGAGAGTAAGAGCACGTGAAAGATGACAGAAAATTTTGATAAGGAATGGTTGGGGAGTAGCATAGGAGAAAAACAAGTGGCTCTATACATACCTGATCATTCCTGCTTCTTCCAGTGTGCAGCTTTCCAGCAATATCACCAATCAGCTCCTGAGGACAACAGGAAGACTTCCATCAGTGTCTGTATTCTAAGCAGGAGACTTCCCACAAGAACAGACCTCCTCCCAGCCTGGAAGGGACTCAGCTCTAGGATTCTGTAAGTAGCTATGGGATCTCTTTGGGGAAGGGCAACTTTGGGTTCTGTGCTTGTACAGTGCCTCTTCCACAAAAGGGGTCTTGAACACTCTTGACCACAGAGTCAGTACCAGAGTTGCTGAGGACTGTTATAGTGGGACAGAGGCAAATGCACTTAGTGTCAGGCAGATCTAGCTAGAGAGGGACAGGAAGAAGAGGTTAGAGGACCAAACCTTAAGTCTGCGTTCGTTGGCAGTGTGGATATCCTCATCGCTCTGTTTCACCACAAAGACTCCCTTAGACCATTCCTCAGAGATCTACAAAAAGCAGCAGAAACACCAGTCAGACACTACTGGGGAAAGCTGGCTGTAGGTGTCCCCAGCACAAACCACTTTCTGCCATCCTAATGGAAGTCACAAAAACTCCAACATTGCTGTTCTTTCCCCTCATTCTATATAGCACTTGGTGGGGATTCATCTTTTTACCCTTGCTGATCCTGCAATGTTCTGTCCATAGGAGGACTTAAGCGTTGCAATGAGAAAGCAAGCTGAAATGTCAGTCGTTGCTGTAGCATTGTCCTCAAAGATTTTCCTATACAAACATTGTATAGACTCTCCATTGTCCATGGCGGGTGAGCAACAACAATGGATATTTCAAAAAAAAGTGCTTAGCTGCTGACTCCTCTTCACCCCTATACAATGCTATGCATTGCCTTCTACTAACTCAGGCAGCCAGACACAAAAGGATCCCAAGCGCCAGCGGAAAAAGAATATTCCTAATTCACACTGAAACAATTCCTCGGGAATGCTCAGTTTGAAGAGGATGGGGCCCAGGTCACGCTGAGCACATCTCACTGAGGCACCAGGCTTCCGTAATGAGCACCCACAGTGGGCTCATCGGGGCTGCAGGCTCTCGTTCCTGAGTTTTCATCTGGTTCACCTCCTACTGCCTGGCTTTGGTGCCTTTAGCTAGATGCAATCTGAGCGTCCACCCCCTGCCCAGAGTGTCCCTCAGAGTACCAAGAGGACAATACACATGGGCCTCTCTGGTTCTCCCCTGATTTAGGGCAGCATTCCCTTTCAGGAAGGCACTTCTGCACATGCCTGGTGCTAAGGAATAGAACATGAGGGTACAGAAAGATGGTTTTAGAGCAGCAGCTGAGGGTAGGTGCTGTCTGATAAGGAGCTATTTGTTGTAGTACTGTTGTGGCGATTGTATGTAGGCCTGAGCACAAGTGACAGTTTATGAAGGAAATAAATACCTTTTCCAGGCCACTCAGGATCTTCTCCAGCTCAGTCTTAGTTAGGATCCCAGCCTTCTCCAGAGCTTTGGCATAAGCCATGCTCCCCTGGATATCAACTTCAGACAGCCTCTGGTCATAGGCAATGGAAGAGTTGAGCTTCTCCATGATGGGATCTGTGCTTCCACTGAATCTTCCTCCCCAGAGTTTATCTCCCTGTGAAAGAGGAAGAAGCAAATTAAAAAGGCATAATAACTTCTATTAAAGTTCTAAGGACAATGTGATGTCCATTGAGCTTGTTATCCTACATAGAGAGCAAGCTCAGCTATGTTCTTTCAGTGCAGTATCACTGACCAGAGAACCCCTGGACTTTATGACCTTTGACAGTTATTTGAAAAGGTAGAGAGCATTTTACCTGTTGCTAGCCCTTGAGCTGTCAGGTCAGGCTCAGGAGTCCTCCAAGATACTTTACCCTTGCAGGACTCTGTAAGGAGTGTGGCTTGGCCCTGAAAACAAATATCAGGGCATATGGTGCAAGAGCAGCATGTATCTAGCTTTTAAGGCTGCTTCTTGTCACTGACCACCTGATAGCCTAATAGCAGTGAAAAAAAATAAGCAGTCACAGGGAATATAGTGAAAGCTCAGTATCCTCTATTTTTTTTTTTTTTTTGGAATAAGTCTGTTGTCGTTGTGCTAAGGAGATTTTTCTGTTTGACAAATAGCTATGGGCCAGCAGAAGCTGCATTATCAAGTGTTTGAAGTTGCAGTTTAAGCATCTCCTGAGCCCATGATGTGCTTACAAGTTTTGGCAAGAAGTTAACATAAAATCAGCTACGGTACTGACTCTAGAATGGAGTCTGGTATCTTTTGACATCAGGAACATTCAGAAAAATAAGTCAACATATAGATGGTTTTAAAATACATAGAAAAATTTTTTCTACCCAAAATAAGATTGATTTATTGCCCAATTCCTGCCATGCATCACAGCATGGTTTGAGTAAAGCTTTTTCACCAGTGTTTCAGCAACTGAATGGATTCACTAGCCAAGAACCATCAGATTTTTGTCTATCTGGATAGGACACCTCCTAAAGCCCTAACTCTGGACAAACTTGCATGGAAATAGATAGGAATGTTACTTGTACAGAAACCTTTAAACTAATTCAAAGTCTCAAAAGCATCTCTCCAGCATCAGCAGGCTGAGAGAAGAAATTGGAGAACAGTTTAAAGGAAGGCCCAGAATATAGTCACCATTGCAGAGTAGATAATTGCTAATCTACTTGATGTTTAAGCACCCCATCAACCCCTTCTCAGTCTGTACATTGTAACTACCATGGACAGCAAAAAGCTGGCTGGGACAGTTGCAAACTAATCTGTGCTGGGGTTTTATCAGTCAGCCAAAGGACTGTTGAGTAACCTTAGAAACTTTTTTTCCTCCCTAGAGACTGTCTCCACATCTCAACAATGTGCCTGAGTGGACAGTGGGCAGAAGCCTACAGAGGTAGGCATTGCACGTGTTTTTTCATATCTTTGCAGCAGCTTTGTCAGCAAGGTGAGGGGAGGGAGAGGGGAAAAAATGTCAGAATTAAAGAGGTGTTAAAAGTCCTCCATGTCAATCCAGTGCTTACAGGAGTACAGCATACAGGCTGTAACATTAGAAGCCAGTACCTGAGGCTAAGCACTTCAATGGGGAACTGCTCTGCCTAGGCATATCTTCAGCATTACGGGTTTCCACCAAATTAAGAGGTGGGTCAGCAGAAACATTGCAACAGATACATTTGCAATAGAGAAATCAAAACTGAAGGATTAATTTCAGCTAGTTACAGGGCTCTGGTCAGAGAAGGAAGTGACTACAGCCTGGCACTGATGGACACTGGTGCACAGCCAACAGCAGGGTAAGCCAGGGCTGTAGGAGCTGCTCCAAAGGCAGGAAGCACGAGTCACTAAGACAACTAGTCACAGAAAGTGAAAACACAGCTTTGGTACAGAGAAATATTTATACAAGCTTTTGTAAAGTACCTGCCTAACCACAGGCCAGCAGGAACGAGCTGCACTGGGCTATCGCGAGCTGTCCTAGGTAGAGGGAAGAGCCCGAGGGAAATAGCAGGCTGTGCTGCCAGAGGCTCTGATTTTAGCAAAGCAGAACTTGCATTAGACAGAGCACCCCAAGAACACCCCCAGAGTCCCCCGAAGTAAAAAAGCACAGCTCACCCTCGCCTCGGATGCCATCTCAGAGGACGTTTTGCTCGCGTGTGCGGCGATCCCAGCACCTGGTGCAACCTGCGGAACAGCGAGGCTCGGCTCAGCAATGCTCCAGCCCCACGGTGGGACAGGACCCCGAGACCCCCGCTGCCCACCCGGCCCTGCTCACCGTGTCCGCAGTGCAGCCCCGGTGGCTCCGTGTGTTCCCAGTCCCTGCTGCCCCGCTTTTACCCTCCTCGGAGCCGGGCTGGGGCGGCTCGTCCCGCCCCGTCGGGGCGGGGTGGCCCCATGGCCAGCCCCCCACCCGCCGCCCCCTCCCCTCGAACCACCCGGCAGCACCGGGGTGTTTCTGCTTTGCCTTTCCCAGCCTGCTGCCACGGCAATTTTTTGCTTGTCTGTGCGCACAGAGGTGTTTGGGGGAGCGCAAGAAGCGCATCCTCTGGTCCCCTTGTGGGGTTGTTTTTCCCTTTAGGCAGCCCTGTTGTCACAGGACCGTAGGATAATTCAGGTAGGAAGGGACCTAATCCAGACGTCTTTTCTATGCTCTTTTCTCAGTAGTACCACTCATCCCCTTGCCGAGTTAAAGAGCAAGTCTGGGGCGCAGTGGGATTGCAGGATTAGGGTGTGCTGGTTTCTGTGGCAGAGGGAACAGCAGGGTGCCTTGGCTTAGCACCAGGCTTGGCTGCATCTTTAGCAGCTGGGTGTCCAGAGTGCTGCCTTCAGCATCAGTCCAGAACAAGGCTCAAACTCTCCGTCTGGATTCGTACCCAGCTCTTAATTCACTGCTTCTCCAACACTTCCCCTCATGGTCATGTTTTTCTAGGGAGATGACCTCATTCCCTTTAGGACTAGCGGACCTGCAGACACACACAGCATCGTGCTGCCTACACAGGGAAAACTTCTTTGAACCATTTTTTTGCCAGGTTCCTTCCTTCCTCTTCTGAAGTCCCTCCTGTTCAGTGCTTCTCGCATCTTGTTGATCTTTTATGAGTGTCTTTGCCCTTATGGCAGGCTTTGTCAGGAGGCTGCTGGGAAGCTGGCAAAACAGTAAGCACTACACTTAGATCCAGAATGGATCTGATACAGGGAAAGGCTTTACCTCTTGGTGTCCATGATATGGGCTCAAGGTTGGCTATGTGGAACATGCACAACACGCACAGATTGTACCTCCTCCTGTCTAAAGACACGGTACAGGAGTTGCCCAAAGGGATAAAGGGTAGGAGGAAGATGCCCAAGGCACTGCAGTCAGGAGGGCTTAGTGTACACCCAGCCAGTCCAGGCACCTCTCCCCGAGACACCTCATTTTTGAACCACAGGGCTAGAGAAGAGAAGATGTGGCACCGTGTGGCACTTCCAGAGTTCCCCAGTATCTACTTTGCTAGATGAGTTTTTATGCCATTAAGCACCCTATGTATGTGTGATATGTGACAGCTCTGATTTTTAAATATTACCTGTATTTAAACAGTTAAATATAACAGTAAAAGCTCTGGTTTCTGTTCTACTACTTCCAGGCCTCTTTGTAATTTTTTCCACTTGCATCCCTCTGTAACAGGAGGTATAGAAACAGCTGAAGAATCCCTATGACATTACTTTGTGTTGCTGCTGGTGAAGAGGGGTCTGGATGGACACATTTGGGTGTTGCTGTCTCAAATTCACCCATGGTGCCTGCAGGGGACGTTGCAGTCACACAAATGCATCTGTTCTCGCTGCTCTTTCGTGACCGCAGAGCAGTTGTTTCTTCCATTGAAAGCTAGGGGGCAGAACGACCAGGGATAACAGCGTGTGTAGGAGAGAAAATACTCAGTGGGACTTTTTCAGAGTGTGAAAGTAGGTTAGAGATCTTTTCCTTGTGGTGAACCCAGTGAAGGGGCATTACACTACTTAGTGTAATGTTTCAAGTGCCCCTGTGTAGGTTTTTTATCAGCTTGGGTGCCAGATCAGAGTTACGTAGCCATCTGCTGAGACTTTCAGTAGTTCATGAGCAGCTGACATGTCAGATTGTACATCTAAAAGGACAGTGTATGAATTCATAGAATAGAATAGAATCATAGAATAGAATCAGGAAGGTTGGAAAAGCCCTCCAAGATCACCTGGTCCAACCATCCCCTTACTACCACTGTCACCCACTGAACCATGTCCCCAAGCACCCCGTCCAACCTTCCCTTGAACACCCCCAGGGGCTGTGGTGACTCCACCACCTCCCTGGGCAACCCGTCCCAGTGCCTGACAGCTCTTCCTGAGCAGAAATGTCTCCTCATTCCCAACCTGAACCTCTCCTGGCACAACTTGAGGCCATTCCCTCTGGTCCTATCACTGCTTACCTGCGAGAAGAGGACGACCTCCAGCTCCCCACACCTTTATTTCAGGGAGTTGCAGAGAGCAGTGAGGTCTGCCCTGAGCCTCCTCTTCTCCAGACCAAACACCCCCAGGTCCCTCAGCCGCTCCTCACAGGACTTGTGTTCCAGGCCCTTCCCCAGCCTCGTAGCCCTTCTCTGGACATGCTCCAGGGCCTCGATGTCCTTCTTGTGGGGAGGGGCCCAAAGCTGAACCCAGCACTCAAGGTGCGGCCTCACCAAATCAGAGTACAGGGGGACGATCGCCTCTCTGGTCCTGCTGGCTACCCTATTCCTTATACAAGCCAGGATTCTTGGCGTAAATGCCTTCCTGTCATCTGTGATGGAGCAGGAGTTAAAGTACAAGTTACTCCCGAGTAGCGTCCAAGACACTGATCCTTCTGTGGAAGAAGTTCTATCACAAAACTTCTGTGATAAGGGACAGGGTTTTAAAAACCCAGATCACAATGAGTCATAGTAGGGTGATAGTGAAAGTCTGAAGATACTCCGGGTCACAGTCTCCTATAATGTCTGCAGCTCCAGAGACCTTCACAGTTCTCTCCCAGTCTAAGTTACTCCATAATTTTTGAGAAAAGGGTGGTTGGGTGGGAAGTACCAGTGATTGTGAGCTACTCATTTAAGTAGGAGACCAAGATGTGATAATCTGCTAAAACCTCTGTTTTGCTTTCAGTTTGGCAGGGCCCTGTGTCACACAGCACCAGCTATGAGGAGCAACGCCAGACACTTGCTGGTGGGAGCAAGAGGAAATCTGCTTCGCTGAGGGTCTTAAGGTACAGAACCATAGCAAGAAGATACAGTCAAGGAGACTATTGGCACAAATTGAGAAAGTTTATGGGAGGGAAGAAAAAGCTGTGAGCTGGAAATGGGGAGCTAATCCTTCCTCTGACTCCGTTGGTGTTGGGTACTGGTGTCACCTCTCCCTCTTTTGCACCTTCCCCAGATCAGTAAGTTTCATAAATGATTTCTTACCTCATCTAACCTATCTAGAGAGTGAGACAAAGTGACAAAGTGACAAAACAGAAATAGAGCAGGAAGTAACAGAGCAAACACAAAGGAAGTTTATGGAGCAGTGATTGAAATGTGGTGTTCTCTAAATGCCAGGAGAATAGATCAGGTGTAGGGCCGTAGTACAGGGAGACTGGAGGTGGAAGGAAGTGCTGAAGAAAGGGAAATTTCTGTTGTTGTTGCTTTTCCTCCATATTTAAAGCACTAATGCCACAAAGGTAGGATGAAAGGACGTTGTGTCTCCTGGGGTACTTCATTAACGGCAGGAGATTTAGCTCAGGGCACTTTGCATGGTCCTGTCTATGCTAGAGCCCTTAACCAACACACGGTGAGGCAATGCTTGTGTTACTCCTGTTACCTACGTGTGCTGCAGAGTCTTGCAGTGCTCTGAGTCAATAATGTGTTGCTGTATCAGCATGGAGGGCAGGGTGCTGAGCAAACCACCAGCTTTAAAATGCTGTGACAAAAAAAAAAAAAAGAAATTGCCCATGACAACAAGCACTATTGTGCTGTGAATTCCAGGTTCAAGCTGGTTTAGTGTTTAATGAAATTTGCCCCGCCTTCCCTGTAGAAACTATTATTTCTCTGCCTTTCAATCAAGTGATTGAAACCAACCAGTCATTCCAAACAGAAATCACTGCAGAACACTAATGGGAAGTAGTATTACAAATACTTGTTCAACCAAATATTTTCCCCATAAGAGTGACACAAGACTGGTGCATTTTCATTCCTAAAGTAATGCTATTCCTGATCTTTGTTCTGATTTCATTTCAGTAAGGACAGGCAAGAAGATGGTAAATGATTTGTAAGGGTCAGCCAGCAATGCCTGCCCGTTTTCAAGCACTCTGCCCCCAGCTAGATTAGCTTGGCTTGCAGAAAGGAAAGCGCTTGGTCTGGGATGGTGCAGCCCCTGTGCTCCACCGTAAACCAGAGCTAAAGGTGGTTTTGTGGTGGATATGGAAGAGCTGTGAATTGTCCTGCTGGGCATGTTCTAAGATGAAGCATGTTGCAGTGCCAGGCTCTGAGGAGGTTTTTCCCTGCCAGGGGGCAGGCTGGCGCACATAATCCTAGGAGGAGGGCAGTGACAGCTGGTGATGGGGCACGTGTTGCAGGTGCTGTACCAAGTGTCTTGTTTTTTGAACACCCCCAAGTCTCTCTCTGTAACCTAGTACGGCACCACTGGATGTAGTCTTGTGCTGTGTGTGCTTCCTCCAAGCATTTGCAGGTCTCCTGATGTAGACAGACCCTCCTGCTGCCCTCTAAGTACCAGCCCCCTAGATCTCCCCACCTTAGAAGACTTCCCCTGCCAGGGAAGAGCTCCCCATTTCTTTCACAGCAGTGACCCCAAGCCTCAGAAGTGCTGAGGAATCCCAGCTCAATCTTGCCCCTTAGAAGCAAAACGCGAGACAGGAGTTTGAGTGAACTACAATACACCACAGTGTTTATTAACTCTGCATTAGTGTGATAAGCACAATGCTGCATCCACGGGAAATCTCCCCACACTCTAAGCTTGTTCCTTCTGCTTCTTCATCAGCTCCCTCAGCTGCTCAATCTGGGTAGTCACGCTGCTCTTGGCGGTACCGCCCAGGGCAGTGTACTGCTCCACGCTGTTGACAAAGTTGAAGACCTGGGACACATCGCTGCTGAACAGGGGGCTGGAGAAGCAAAGAAAGAGGTGTCAGTGCAGGGTGATGGGTGCTGCTTGCTGGCTTTACATGCTCAGTGCCTGAAGATAAGGGAGTGGAGGCTGAGCCTTATTGCAAGGGAAAAGTCTCTGGCTGCTCTGACTGCTCTTGTAGTGCCACAGGAGCAGCTCATGGTAGACCAGAGAGCTAAGATGAATCTTTTCAGAAAAAAGCCTGTACAAGCCAGGCTGATATCTGCCATATCTCCCCTCAAAAGGCAAAGTGACAGTGATACAAACCTGATGCTCTTCAGGTCCTCCAGGGTGAGATTATTGATGGCAATGCCTTTGGTCTCGGCAAGGTGGACGGCCTTCCCCGAAGCAGTGTGGGCTTGTCTGAATGGCATCTGCAATGAAAGCAAAAACAAGAGTCAAGTGACCAGGCACCTGGGCTGCAGATTCAGGCAAGAAAGAATGTGTTCTCATTTGTGCTGACTTGTTTTTAATTAGGGAAATGAAATCTGAATCCGTGTTTTCTGGGGTGTGAAGAGGGGAGGCATTAGGACGTAAAATTCCACCTGTAAATTACTATCAAGTCCACCTGGCAGCAGTTCCACTACTTGGGATACATGTAAAGAAAGGGTTTCCAGCTTTCGTGTTTGTTGACCCACACTGATCATCACCTGGGGACAGAACAGAAGGCCTCATCTCAGGCCCTCACTGAGCAGTATTCTGCATCTAAGGAAGTCACAGCTCCAGGTCTCCCTACTGCACTTACTCCTTTGCGAACCAAGTAGAGAGCCAGGTCAGTAGCCAGCATCTCAGGGGTCAGAGCCTTCTCCATGTTCTCCTTGCTGATCTGTAGAGAGAAGCATCAGAGGGAGACATGATCATCTGCTCCTCCTTGGGAGGCATTAGCAGTCACACTGAGGGTGCTTCATTGCCGAAGGACCAGGATCTCCAATGACATTTTCTGCAAGCTAACTCCCAGATCTAAGTGTACCCGAGCTGTTGCTGTGGTGGGGGCATAAAGAGCAGTATGAGTGAGCAAGAGGCCTTCATCTTAGGATCAGTGTATTGCTCCTGTGGCTGTGCTATGCCGAGAATGTGCCCCCTCCAACCACAGTGCAATAGTGAGAGGCTGAAGCCTTACCTGGAGGGTAGAGATCACCCCAGTGGCAACCTGGAGCACAGCAGTCAGGGTGTCCACAACATCAATGACAGCCTCCTTGTCCTCCTGTGTGAGAACATGGATACACATCACTGTTAGATGGAGCCCAACCACATGGGCAGCCCGGCCAGCAGAGGAGGCAGCATGTCATCTCTGGGGCTCCTGCTGGGGTCGGGTGTGAGCTGCAGCATGCAGTGCCTCAGCCCTGTTTTTTATCATCCTGCACACAAGCAGGGAAATGCAGGGAAATGCAGTGCAAGAGCCTGCTCTCAAAGCTAAAGACAGCTGTGCCAGGTTCAGAGAAACAGACTGAAGCCTAACAGCAGTTTTACCTGCAGGTCCTTGTTGTAGGTGCTTGGAAGTCCTTTGAGAACCATGAGAATTGAAGCCAGCTGCGGAGAGAAACAGACAAGGCAGTTAGCTTGCCGAAGAGAAGCTCATTGCTCTAGCAAAAGGTCAGAGCCCACATTGGGAACAAATCTTTTTTTTTTTTTTACACAGAGGCATGAAGAGGGAAGCTTCCCTAGCCCTCTTCTTCCTTAAGCACACTCACCCGTCCAAACACACGTCCAGCCTTGCTGCGGATCAGTTCCAGGCTATCAGGGTTCTTCTTCTGAGGCATCAGGCTGCTGCCAGTGCTGAAAGAAAGATGTTTGCAGTGTAACAGTTGTGTGGAGCCCAGTGCTGCCTCTCAGAGAGGAGAGAAATGAGAGGCTACTTGGCAGGCCCTCCAGAGGTGGCATCAACAGGCAAGAGTGTTTCTGTGGCCTTGGGAAGGCAGGGCTGTGGTTGTGCCATCCTGAGAGATAGGAAGTCTGTTAGGATGTTACCAGAGTCAGAAATCAGTGTTCCCTAATGAGGAATGCTCTCTCTTAGCCTGCCTTTCTGCCAGGCTTTTTGTGCTCTGGGGAGTTGATTTGTGTGTCAGCCTTGTGCAGCAGGGAGCTCCCCAGCTCTGTCTCAGTCTCTCAGGTGGGGAGAAGGGAGGAGGAGAGGCTGAGGGAAGGGCTGGCTTCCCAGGGACCAGCACCTACCTGAAGGCATCAGAAAGGGTCAGGAAGCCAAACTCGCTGGTGCTGTAGATGATGAGATCTTCAGCCATCTTGCTAAGGTGGATCAGCAGCAGGGTGGCAACAGAGAGGAATTCCACTGCAGAAGAGGCAGGAGGTCAGGAGGTGAACAGGGCATTGGTTTGCTCGACAACCCAGGGTGCCCTGACTGGAGCTTACGCCCGTGCAAAGAGTTTCTGTACAGTTATTTCCCAGTGAAGGATTTGAGTTCCTTTGTTAATGGAGTTAACTGGGAAGGCCTCTAAAGCCCGCTTCTAACATGGTGGAGGGAAGAAGCGATGGAGTCGTGCTTACCCACAAAGTCTCTCTCACTAATGGCATCCATGCTGTTCAGGCTGATGGAAGCAAACTCCAGCTCTGTAAGGAAAGAGGTGGACAGAGCAGTCAGGGTTGGCACGGCTGGAGCTTGAGGGCAGCAGGCTGCCCCAGCCTGCAGGTGACTGTGAGCCCTTGAGTAGCCCCAGGAACATAACCATGCTGAACTTTTATGCTGCACAGGGCCTTCACTGTTAGGCCTAGGTGACTGTTATGCAGCAGTGCTGGTTGTTCCTGCTCCCACCTCACAGACATGGTCTGGATCTTTGCAGTAAAAAAGCCCGTATGAATTATTTGCTCTTGGTCCAATGTTACAGAACATGACAGAGCTTTGAGGTGCCACCTGTCATTGCTTCCCCCCCCCCCAGACACATCAAATAGAGCCGTGCCACCCCATCACAGGCAGACATTACCGCTACGCAGCATCTCTCTGTCAATGTCCAGGGGGTTGCCAGCCAGAGCACCGCTGCCAGGGAGAGAGAAACAGGAGTCACTTAGAACATCCTGTCAACTCCAACCAAAGCTGTGCAGGGAACAGAACTCTCAAGATGTCAGAGAGACAAGTGATGCCCAGGGATTACAGAAAGTTGGCTGTTACCTTCCCAGGGGCAGGACGTTGATCCTCTTCTTCACCTCTCCCAGGCGCTCAGAGTCACGGGTCAGGGCAACAGCATGGCTATGGAGGGACATGAGAGAGAGAAGGCATCTGAAGTCAGGAACTGTCTAACAAACTGAGAAGGAATTGTGGCTAGATGGTGGGGGCATGCTGAGAGTTGGCCTCCAGAGCCAAGTGAGACTGAACATGGGGACATCTTGTGGTAGGTTTCAGGGTTAGCTGAGGCAGGGTTAGCTCTGCCCTGTCAGAGGATGCTGGGCTGCTGCTGAGCAGGGCCCCATGGATGGAGAAGGCTCCCTGGAGCTGAGTGTGAAAGGTGGTTACCTGAGCAAGAACTGGCTCCATCTGATGGGCTGGGCCTTCTGCAGGTGGGTGTAGCCAGGCAAGATAACATCAATTTCTCTGCATGTGAAAGGAGAGAAAGAGGTGAGCAGCCCCTGTCACAGTAAGGGCAGCACACATCAGGCTATATCCCCAGCATCCATGAGGCAAAGAAGAATGTCTCTGTGAAGTGAACTGTGGAGAAAGAGGGGCTGTGGTCTTTCCCTGCATTGTCCCAGACTGCCTGGCTGTAACTTCCCCTGCAGAAGACCTTGCTACTGCACCCGGTTGGTCTTGCAGTGAAAGAACAAGCCTAAAAATCTCCTGTTCCAGCAAGACCGAGGCTGCTGACTGAGTAAAGGACTTACATGGCAGCACGTTCCACCAGGGTCTTGATGAGCTGCAGCAGGTGAGTGGAGATGATAGAGAGGGAATTCTTCATGAACAGCTTCAAGTCAGTCACAACCTGGACAAGATTGGCCATGGTCAGATGAAGGGGAATCTGACTTATATCGTGAGCTTGTTTTGTCACTGTAAAATAACTCCCCCCTTGTTCTATGTGATGGGGAGGCACAACTTCCTCTCATAAAATGTGTCCTTGGTCATTCTGACATGATAATGTCACCATATCTTCCTCTCAAGGAAGAGAGCTAAAGGCTGCTCTGGTCAGGATTCTCATGAAGTGTGGAGTGGGAGGAGTAAAAGGGCAAAAACAACTAGTTCTGTACATACCTGTTCGTTCCTGCTTCTTCCAGTGTGCAGCTTTCCAGCAATATCACCAATCAGCTCCTGAGGACAACAGGAAGACTTCCATCAGTGTCTCTGTATTCTAAGCAGACTACCCCCAAGTGCAGACCTCCTCCCAGCCTGGAAAGGACTCAGCTCTAGGATTCTGTAAGTAGCTATGGGATCTCTTCTGGGGAAGGGCAATTTGTATGTTTAAGCTTGTACAGAGTCTCTTCCACAGAAGTGGTCTTGGACATGCCTAACCATGCACTTAGATTCAATACGAGAGATGGTGAGGAATAAAACAGTGGGTCAGAGACATGTGTACTTATTGCCAGGCAGGTCTAGCTAGAGAGGGACAGGAAGAAGAAGTTAGAGGACCAAACCTTCAGTCTGCGTTCATTGGCAGTTTGGATATCCTCATCGCTTTGGGTCACTACAATGACTCCCTTAGACAATTCCTCAGAGATCTACAAACAGCAGAAACACAAGTCAGCCCCTACTCTTCCATGCTTTCGGAGGCTGTAGGTGTCCCCAGCAAATACCAACTTTTTGGTCTGAAAAGCTCCAACACTGCCATTTTTTTAGGCCAAAGCTGGCTGCTTACTCTGTCCCCATATTCTGTATTGCACTTGGTGGGATTCATGTTTTACAACCTTGCTGATTCTGCAATGTTCTGTCCATAGGAGGACTTAAGCGATGCAATGAGAAAGCAAGCTGAAATGTCAGTCGTTGCTGTAGCATTGTCCACAAAGATTTTCCTATACAAACATTGTATAGACTCCCCATTGTCCATGGCGGGTGAGCAACAACAATGGATATTTCAAAAAAAAGTGCTTAGCTGCTGACTCCTCTTCACCCCTATACAATGCTATGCATTGCCTTCTACTAACTCAGGCAGCCAGACACAAAAGGATCCCAAGCGCCAGCGGAAAAAGAATATTCCTAATTCACACTGAAACAATTCCTCGGGAATGCTCAGTTTGAAGAGGATGGGGCCCAGGTCACGCTGAGCACATCTCACTGAGGCACCAGCCTTCCATAATGAGCACCCACAGTGGGCTCATCGGGGCTGCAGGCTCTCCTTCCTGAGTTTTCAGCTGGTTCACCTCCTGCTGCCTGGCTTTGGTGCCTTTAGCTAGATGCAATCTGAGCGTCCATCCCCTGCCCAGAGTGTCCCTCAGAGTACCAAGAGGACAATACACATGGGCCTCTCTGGTTCTCCCTGATTCAGGGCAGCATTCCCTTTCAGGAAGGCACTTCTGCACATGCCTGGTGCTAAGAGATAGAACATGAGGGTACAGAAAGATGGTTTTAGAGCAGTAGCTGAGGGAGGTGCTGTCTGTTAAGGAGCTCTTTGTTGTAGTACTGTTGTGGGGATTGTATGTAGGCCTGAGCACAAGTGACAGTTTATGAAGGAAATAAATACCTTTTCCAGGCCACTCAGGATCTTCTCCAGTTCAGTCTTAGTTAGGATCCCAGCCTTCTCCAGGGCTTTGGCATAAGCAATGCTTGCCTGGATATCAACCTCAGACAGCCTCTGTTCAGTGGATATGGAAGTGCTGAGCATCTGCATGATGGGATCCGTGCTTCCGACAAACCTTCCTCCCATAAGTTTATCCCCCTGAGAGTAATGAAGTTAAAAGGCATGTTCAAATGGCTTACTGATACATTCTCCTAAGAATCATTTAATGCTCAGCCCACTCCTTATCTAAGTAAAACTGAGGGTTTGCCCAGGCATCTTAATTTTTTTCAGTGCAGTAGCACTAACCAGAAAGGTCCCTGGACTTTAGAAGCTTTAGAAATTAATTGAAGAGGTGGAGTGCAAGTCTCTGTTACTAATATTTAGCTCTTGAGCTGTCAGGTCAGGAGTCCCCCAAGATACTCTACCCTATGTCTCTGTGGGACTCTGGAAGGAAAGTGTACTGTCCTTGAAAACAAATATCAGGACATATGGCACAAGAGCAGCACAGATCTGTCCTGTAAGGCAGCTGAAGGTCACTATCCCTCTCATAGTCTATTGAAGAGAAAAGTAAGGGAGTCAGGGTTTAGTGAATGCTAGCGTCTACTGTTACTTGGAATTAAAAAAAAAAAAGAAAAAAAAAAAAAGAAGGAAACCTTTCTTTTGGGGAGACCGTAAGTAAATATTGGGTTGACAAAGAGCTGTGGGCCAGAAGTAGCCACATCCCTTTTGGCTTAAACTTAGCATCAGATCCGTTAAGGGTGCAGACTGTTCAGTCTCACAAATTTTAAGAAGGGAGAAAAAAAAAGCAGCAGTCCCAAAGCCCCCAAAGCACCCCCAGGAGCTCAGCAAGCCGCAGCACTGGGCGGCAGGACCCCACTACCATGGACAGCGGCGGAGGGAGCTGAGGAGACCCTGCCCCAGGTCCCTGCCAAGCTGGTGGACCCCAGAGGAGAGCAGGGGAGAGAGCCTCAGGGGCGAGCCTGGAGTCATGAGGTGTTGGGAGGTTGTTATTTTTTTTTTCATTATTTCTTTAAAACAGGTTTATCAGCATGAGAAATCCGAATTGCAAAAGCAAAGTTTTGCAGCCCCTCACTGGGAATCCAGTCCCCTGGGGTGAACGGCACCGGGGTTGGGGTGCTAATAAAGGCCAGTGCTGGGAGCACGGCACTTGGACAGGAAGAGGCATCGAGATAAATCCTCCCTACTGTGGGTTTTCACCACAATCAGAGGTGAGTCTTCAGAAATACTGCAGCAAACACGCTTGCTGTCCCGTTTTCTGCTTAAAACCCGGCAAAATAAAGCGGGCAGAGAGGAGCACCCAAAAACACCCTGATGGACATAGTAGGAAACACTGCCGGGGTTACCAGTCAGCGGAGCTTGCGTTTTCTAGAGCATCCCTAGAGCACCCCGAGAGCACCCCGCAGTTAAAGCAAAGCTCACCCTCACCTCGGATGCCATCTCAGACGACGTTTTGCTCGGGTGTGCGGCGATCCCGGCACCTGGTACAACCTGTGGAACAGCGAGGCGAGGCTCAGTTCTGCTCTGTCCCAGCCCAGCAGTGGGACAGGACCCCAGGACCCCTGCTGCCCACCCGGCCCTGCTCACCGTGTCTGCAGTGGAGCCCTGGCCGGTAGCTCCGTGTGCTCCCAGTCCCTGCTGCCCCGCTTTTACGTGCCTCGGAGCCGGGCTGGTGGCTCGTCCCGCCCTGTTGGGGCGGGGTGGCCCCATGGCCAGCCCCACCATGGCCCCCCCGCAGCCCCTCACCCTTCCCACCCCTCTCCTGCCCCCAAACCCTGCCGATCCAGCACATGATGAAAGAGTCAGGAGAGAGGCATCCTCTCAGGCTGCGAGGAGGAGCGTTGGGAGAGATGCCCTCGTTCATGTTGCTTGTCTGTAAAGTTTCTGGTGGAGCTTTAGGCAGCACGCCTGTGGTTTGCGAGTGTTCTCTGTGTGTTTTCACTGACAGGTCAGCTCCACTCCTAGGAATATCCTTGTATTGAAGGAGTCATTTCACTCTGTCCTCCTCTACATCAGAATTAATGTACTCGGTATGATGGGTGGATCATCAGTGCTCCATCCATGTTGCCACCCCAGCAAACAAGCAAGAATAAAGTAGAATCATTTAGGTTGGAAAAGACCTCTAAGATCATCAAGTCCAACCATTAACCTAGCAAATAGATGGGAACTGGCTGCCCTTTCCAGTTTCCGTGCAGAGGAGCCTTTTTACCTCCACTTAAAAGGACACTGACGCTTTGGGGATTTCTGCTCTCACTAATTGCATGGGGTCATTGCATGGGGTCAGTCTTGGGAAGAAGCTCGTGTGAGACTGGGGCTGCAGAGTGTGAGGTTGTGCAGGCTCAAGTGCCAGTCTGGGTCTGCAGCCCTGACAAATAGCCCCAGATCCCTCAAACTCTAAATATCATGAATGTAAATAACTGGTTTAAAATACAGGTGAGCTTTGGGAACAGCAGCTCACAAAGCTGCTCCTCAGCATCAGTTTCTCATTAACTCAGAGCAGTTTTCGGCAGCCACGCCACAGAACGAGCACTTGCTGTTTTGTCGTACAGTGTGCACTACCACAGTGAAGCATGCTTCCATCTGCATGATCCGGGCCTTTGTCAGAGCTCATGAAACATATTCTGTTTTTCTTGTCCCCATCTTTTCCTTGCCTTTAACTGACCCGCTTGTCCTTTTTCTGCCATTCTTAGTTCCGCAACTTGTCATCTTTTGCTATTCACACTATGACATCCACACTAGGAAACTGCTTAACTGTTTTGTCATCACATTCCTCATTGCTTTGAAATCCCATATTTTTAACACTTTTCTTGTCTCCTTCACCCTTTAAGAGTGTCCTTGTCCTTACTTTGACAGGAGATCGCTGATATTTTGGGAAAATAGTGAGCACTGAATTTACAACCCAAGTGAATCCCATACAGAGAGCATCTCTGTCTTATGGAGTTTGAGGTATGGACTCCAGGTTAAGACACAGCCTGTGTAAGGACTATGTTTTTCTTCCTGAAGATATCAAACAGGACTTTCCCAAAGAGAAAAAGGGAAAAAAGAGTGATCCCAAGTGCCCTGGTGAAAGATCAGTAATGCAGTGACTTCATGTGAAGTATTTGTGGTGATGTATCGTGGGTTTTGGCCTTGGACCCATTGAAATAAATTATTCTGATGGATGCTGTGGGACAATAATCTGCAACCCATGTGCAGCTGGGTTTTAATCACTGGGAACAACGTGGTTGAATTTCTGTTATTTTTGT